CGCCTGACGGGCGGCGGGTCTAGCCAATGGGTCGGCGGAGGCGGGCCCGCCGCGCAGGTATGGGGCGGGGCTGAGCGCCCCCGAGAGTGGGGCGTCCCCGCGCCTCCTCCCCCAGGCCTTCCGTCGTGAGCACCCGCAGGCCTTCACCCCTCGGGGTTCATCTCCGGGAATCTCGAGACCCCAGCACGCCCCATTCTTCCCTGCTTGGTTCACGATTTCCCCAAGCGCCGGACTGTGGTCTCCCACCTCCACACGCCCCCTCAGCCCCACCCCAGGACACTCTTCGCGTCTGCCTTCGCGCCTCCTCCTCCAGGAGGCCTCCCCATTAGTCTACCGGTTTCCCACTCTTGCGCCTCGGAGGGCTAGTGCGCGCGAATCGGATTGCGAGACAGGAAGGGCCGCTTGTCTCCCAGGCTGCGGGCTGGGGCCCCGCACGTGGCCTGGGGCTGGCAGCCACCGGGGGACAGTGGAATGCATTGTTCGACCCATTTTCAACCGCCCCAACTCATCCGTCGAGCCGAAGGGGCCGGGCCAGGGGGCGATGAGGCCCGACGCTGGGTGCCTCGGTTCCAGGAGACCCGGCGGGGCGCGCTCGGCACCCGCTGAGCGCCCCGGCCCTTTCAAGCCCTGTTCCAGGGAGGGTGGCGCGTCCGCACCCTCGCGCGCCTCGGTCGGGCATCTCCGGAGGGAGTCTTGGCCGAAGTTCCAGCGCCCTCGCGCGGGGATGGAAGGTCTGTTCTCGGCGCGCGGGCCCCCGGCGCGGTTGGCCTAAAACGAACCAACAACGCGTCCTCATCCTGCCTTCACTATTTGACAGCCGGGGAGCCTGGAGTACGGAGCAGGACCAGGACCCGGCCGCCTGCCTGCGGTGCTGCGCTTCCAAGGGGCGGCGGCGCGGCCGCTGGGTGACAGGGGCCCGCCTCCCCTCTCCGCGAGTCCTCGGGGGTTTCTTCGCCTCTGGGATGAGGAGCGGGTTCACTGGCGCCGCGCGCTGGGATCGCGTCTTCTTGTGAACCAGGCGCAAATGGCTGCCTGGTTCTCTTTCCAAGGGCTCGAACCCGTGCAATCGAGGCTGGAGGTGGCCGCGGCGGCGGGATAGGGCCAGGAGGTGGGCCAATGTCTTTGGAAGAGGGGCGGTGTTCAGTGGAGAGGCTGGGTGCACCTGCGCGAGGAGCAGGACGTGTGGTTACTTGAAGGAGGTCCCCTCTGGGCGCCGGCTGGTCAGCAAGGGCGCGGAGCTCCCTAAGGGCCCACCGGCCTTTCCTTCCTACCGCGTGGGAAACTTGCTGTGGTGGCGTTGTCTTGCAGGGAGTCAGGAAAAATCCGGGAAGGGATGAGCGCCCTGTCTCTGGTTTATTTGGAGGGGTGCTCACACTTGCTTTCTATTCTCTCTCCCTCCTCCCCTTCCTTCCTCCCTTCCACCATTCCATCACCCTCCCTCCTTCTCTTCCTTACCTTCTTCCTTCCATGCACATTTATTAATTGCTTGCTGTGTGCCAGACCCTGTGAACTGGGGGCACAGAGGTGGATAAGCCAGAGGCACCCTCTTGCCAGAGGAGGGCCCGGGGAGCTATTGGTCTCCCCGTAATTTCCACCTCCTTCCAGATGTAATCAGTGAGCCTGGACACAGGTCCCGCCTCAGATTTGGGAACTGTGGAGATGCCTCTGCCCTGGCCTTTCTGGAGTTTGGACCCAACTCCCTAATGGAGGAATGTTTAAATGATCACCAGCCGTCTCTCCAGTTCTCCACATTCCTGGGGGCTATTGTCAGCTCAGGAATCAGGGTTCTTGCCTCTCCTTATGACCCTATGTACCCCCTCTCAGGCCTCTGTTCCCCAGCAGGGGAATCATGTCCTCATGCTGGCATGATGTCCTAGGAGCCCTACATATGAACAGCAAACATGGGGGTCTTGGCTCTCATAAATCTTCAGCCACCACCGCCATCCCCAACACACACATAGTGCACCTAGCCAGCTGGAGAATATGGAAATCCTGCTATCAATGGGCCATTCCCCTGGCCTGTTGCAGTTCTCCTGCTTTCTCCCAGGACAGGGTTTGTGGGTACTTGATGGTGCACTGACAGGGGTGAGAATTGGGGAATAGGAAGGAGTCAGACCCCACTTTGGCATGTGATCCCCAACAGGTGACTGGTAGGCAGGGTGAGGAGAGAGGCAGGGGGACCCTTAAGGCTACCAGTGGGGATGGGCTGCCTCACCCTAACGCTGGAGGGTGGCCCAAACTATCCATTCCTCAGTGGGAGGGCTGGATGGCCAGCAGGAGGGCTGGATGGCCAGGCTGAAGGCAGTGGGAGGGACTAGTAGGGCCTCCTGATGCCCTTGCCGCCTTGGTTCCCAGGAAAGGAGTAAGTGACTCAGGGAGAAAAGGCTCCCTGCAGAGTCTCTGCAATAAAAAGCACTTCTTTGTTTTTTCAGAATTGTTCCCCTGGGGGATCCACCCTTCCTTACCTATCAAAGGGCACAAAACATATTCAGAAGCAAAGGGAATAGGAAAAAAAGCAAATAACAAAACCAAACAAAACCCTAAAAATTTCAGCCAACACTAAATTTGACTGTTTTAACTAACTGTTCTCAAATGTCCTATCCTGTGTTCTGAAGCTCTGAGAGTGGGGGAGTCAACCATGGCCCACTCTTGGGGAGTCCTATAGAATCTGGTGAGGAAGCCGTCCTTTGTCCCATCCAGGTGATCTGGGAAGGCTTCTGGAAGGGATAGGGATGTCAGAAGCAGAGGTGGGGCAGACAGGCTACCTGAGGAAGTGGAAAGTGGTTACTTAGAATCCCTTTCCCACCTGGCAGGAAAACAGCAACAATTCCAGGTGTAGTGGCTTACGCCTGTAACCACAGCACTCTGGGAGGTGGAAGCGAGAGGATTGCCTGGGTCCAGGGGTTTGAGACCAGCCTGGGCAACTTGGCAAGACCTTGTCTCTACAATAAATTAGTTAGGTGTGGTAGTGCACGCCTGTAGTCCTAGCTACTTGGAAGTCTGAGATGGAAGGATCACCTAAGTCCAACAGGTTGAAGCTGCGGTGGCTGTGAGCATGTCACTGCACTCCAGCCTTGGTGACAGAGTGAGACTCTAACTGAAAAAAAAAAAAAAGAATCCCTTTTCCCATCTCCCACCCTATCCAAAGTTGGAGCTCCTCTGGAGACTGCCTTGGCCTCCCCAGTCCAGGCTGGGAGAGAAGTGTTGCAGCCACTTTCTACTCTCTGTTCCCCAATTCCCTTCTAGCACGGATTCCTCCCTGGAGTGCTCTGTTCTGAGGTCTCCCTCCAGGATCCCAAAACCTGTCCCCAGTCTCCAGCCCACGCCCTACCCTCCTTCTGGATGCCAGAATCCACAGGGGTGCAAAGGATGCACGGGATGGGGGGAAAGAGAGAGAGAGAAGGAGAGTCACTTGCTGTTCCCCGTGACAACAGGCACGGCAGGAAGAGAATCTGCAGTTACTCATTCTGAGCCTGCCTGGCTTCCTGCCTGCCTCATCACGGCAGTGTGTGCCACCCTCGCCTCCTCCAGTCCTCAAACCACCTCTCAGAATCGTGCACTCACAGCCTCCAAGTCTCCTAGCTCAAGTGCTCAGTGGTGGTGAGCATGGAGTGGGAAGGGCAACCAGAGGCCTTACAGTGGTCTTAACCTATGTGGTGGTGGCCAGGCTAGAGCTTGGTAAGGAAACTACATGGCTGGGGCAGTCACTGCCCTGGGATTCTCCTGCCACAGTGCTGTCTGGAAGCAGGTGATGCTTGCCTTCTCTGAGCTTCTGAGTTGAAGGACCTACGCTTTTGGTCTTCATCCGTCAGGTGAGGCTCTGGGGATATGAAGTGCTCACCACCTCCCCAGGCCATCCCTTTTTTCGGGGTCAGTTCTTCCTATGAGGGGATGCACCTTTACTTCAAGCTGTAGTTTTGTGGAGGGCAGGTATTTAAAGAAGAAATACTCCCTTCATGCCTTCTGTCGCCACATGCAGCGAATATCATTCATTCATCCCCCTGTATCACCACCTACACTCGTCTGGCCCTGTGATGAGGACTGGGGATGCAACTGTAACTTAGACGTGGGCTGTCCCTTCCAGGGGAGCCTAGCACTGCTTGGTTGGGGGATTGTAGGGATCTTATGGTGTGCTACAGCTGCGCCTAGAAAGAAAACCAAGTTTATGGGAGTGCGGGTGATGGAGAAAGAATTGTCCTGACTTGACAGATGTGGAAATGAAGTCCGGGGGCCGTTCTGAATGGCCATTCCTGGTCCTGGAGGCTGGAGCTTAGAGCTCTGTGGGGGAGAGGCAGTGCCAACCACAAGTGTGTCCTACAGTGAGTAGATGCTACTCGGGGTTAGGAATGTGGGAGTTTATTGGATGACAGGGGACCTATGGAGGGTAAAGGAATAAGATTGGGCAAAGAACCTCAGACTGTAATGCAGATCTGGGTCTCTGTCGACCAACAGTGAGCTCCAGAGTCAAGGTTGCACAGAGAAGCCTAGGAACCCTACTGTGTTTGGTAGTCGCAGCTCTCGGGGAAGAGCATGGCCTTGGCCCATATGCCGTGCTGGAGGCTGAAGGGAGCACGACTAGAGGCTGACAGCTTACCACACTCACTCCTCACAAGCTCCTAGTGATGTCCCTCTGTGTGATGTTACCACAACACAGAAATGAGGTATGGAACACGAAGGAAATGAGAGAGCTCTTACTCCAGGGGACAGAGAAAGAGACCCAGGTCCTCCCTTGGAATACACAGAGAGGAAAGGCCTGAAGAACTCCTTTCCTCAAAATCCCAGGGCTCACTTTGGTCCAGGGGGTCAGCAGTCTGCCATCAGGCAGCTGGGGGGTCATGGTGTAGTAAGTCTCTGGGAAACTTTAGAGGAAGGACTGCTCTCC